TCACTTCTCAAACTTGAGTGGATATGTTCAGACTAACGCTAGAGACTGTTTACTGAATAGTAACTAGTCACAAATTGAGACTTTACCTCAAAATATTTAAAATTGTGATTAGAGACTACTTATAGAATTGCGCTATAAATTTTCTATAACATAATCAAAAAGATAATTACCAAATAACATAAAAATCACCCAAACTAATTGTTAAATTTGTTTAAAAGTGTCGTATGCTGTAAGCAACTTCATAATAAATACAAGGAACAAACTGCCGTAATATTAATTTAGATTGATATACATACACATGTAGTAGTATATCGTCCATGAGTTTAAATCCGTATCCATATTACCGATCACCTTTGGGGGTTCTACAAGTGTATGCTCCGGTCTTTAAACCTTCAGTTAGACGCAGCATTTTTCATAGAATCGAACATTACCCCTGTCGGCCAGCTTATCAAGCTCTTCATATACATTTCGGCTTCTTTCTTTTCCTGTCTGCAGCGTCCCAGCTGTTCTTTTACATTTTCCGAAAAGCAATGGTTTCGGTTGCAGCTGTACGTAAGGAGTTTCAAATGTCGTCCCATAGTTCAGTTTTACCCAGTTGTTGACGCGTGATCTCAGAGAGCAAGAGTACAAGTCGAGTAGAAAATCGTTCGGCTATCTGTTGTGATTGCAGCTTCTAGACATTGAACCTTCCTTGCGTTCGGTGGCGTGCGCTCTTTGCTACATAGAGGCGGGTGCGAATCTTTACTGCAACAAGATAGTGGCTCAAGTCGACGTTAGGACCTCGGAGTGCACGCACATCTAAAACACTAAAAACGTGTCTTCCGTCTATCACAACATGATCGATCTGGTTGGTGGTTTTTCGATCCTCAGACAGCCAGGTAGCTTGATGAATCTTCTTATGCTGGAATCTATTACTACAGATAACCATATTTTGGGCCCCGGCGAAGTCGATCACCCTCAATCCATTTGGGGATGTTTCTTCGTGGAGGCCGAATTTACCGACCTTAGTGCCAAAGATATCTTCTTTGCCCACAATGGCTTTAAAGTCGCCAAGCACGATTTTGACATCGTGGCGGAGGCAGCTCCCATAAGTGCGTTCCAAGCACTTTAAGCGATATGTTGAAGAACCTCGCCTTGTGGCTAGACGTTCATTCAACGGAGTGAATGATAGTACTCGGCGATGGAGTCTCTCCCACCACGAATCCCACCCCAAACTTGCGCTCCTTATATGGCCACTGTAGTAAATGCCATGGTCGTCATCAAAAGGGGGTCACTCATGCGAGGCTTGTTTCTTTTCATTGGTGGTGTGTTTTTACGTGGCAGGTCTCAAACCCAGCGAACAACCATATGTAGATGAAAGTACAAATAAATAAATATAAATTTTTCTGTAAGGAAACTCTTTTTCTGGGTCACGTTTTGACAGCCGGGTAGAGTAAAATCCCGAAAAAGTTAAACATACATTGGGCGTAAAGATTCCAAAAACCATTAAAAAAATTAAATAATTTCTAAGTGTATGCAGTTATTATAGGAAATTCGTTACGGATTTTGTGAATGTAGTATATCCAATGGTGAAATTTCTTAAAAAAGACGCTAAAAATAATATAAATGATCCAAATTTTATTAATTAATTTAAAAAGCTGAAAGGAATCATTAAGAAAGCCCCGCTACTAAAGTACCCTGATTTTAATAAACATTTTGAATTGGCCACTGACGCAAGCTCTTGTGCAAAGCAGCAGTGCTGCAACATGACAAGCATCCTATATGATTCGCCAGTAGAACCTTAAGTGATCATGAGCGTTATTATTCGGTCACGGAGAAAGCGCTCTTATAGCAGAAACAGTCAAAAACACAGAATCGTGGGTCGTGTCAGCTGATTCGACCTATCTTATGGGCGCGCAATATAAGTGCCCAGTGAAAACCGCTACTCCCTTCTCTCTTTGACGTCGGATGACGTGAGAATCTACAGTATTTTGGTTTTTGCCGTGGAAACGTATCAGCTGATTGCTCTCTCACAACCCAGGGTTGCCAATATCTATATACTGTAGTAATTATCAACTTTTATAATTCAATCTGTTCAATATGTTTGAAATTTTCTTCAAATAACTCAAAATTGGAGTCGAATGCTATTATTTATAAATATATAAACTCTTTTTAATAGTTTGTTTTCAGTTTTGATATTTTATATTATAAAAAATTGTAATTGAAAACATGGATGTGTACAAAACTATATATGCGTAGTGAGCAATGGCAACATTGTTGAAATGTAAACAAGCGCAAACGTCAAATGAAAAATTTATTGTTTCAAAAATCAAAATACGTGTGTGAAAGAAAATAAGGACGATGAGAAATTAATAGCTCTAGTTGAAACTAGAACTGAATTATACAACAAGAGCAGCCCCTACTATAAGCTTCAAACACGAAAAGATGCTTTGTGGGCTGAAATCGGGAGGGAGTTGAACGCAAGTGGTAAGTTGCTTTGTTATTTACAACTGTTTATGTTTTTAATAATAATTAATTATATTTATAAGGAGAAATGTGTCGTCGTAGGTGGATGACACTTCGAGACCGATACGGGAGGAAAACGCGGAAGGCTAACGCCCCCTCAGGCAGCGGGAAAGAGTTTCACAGCAGTGGCATTTGATGGAGGCAATGTCCTTTCTTAAGCCACATATTTTACCACGACCGTAAATTTTAGTATATTAATTGAACGTACGCATTTTTAGTTGTCATAAAAACTTAAATTTTCAGGGTTAGATTCTCACAAAATATTTGTGAAACCCCTGTCACTTATCAGGGTCAGTTGCAATCAGCTGAAGAAACACAACTGCAGCCACAAGGAGAAGCGCAGGAGGTGGAATCGCCATTGCCGTTATGGTCACCGTTAACACCAATAGCAATATCGCTGCCGTCGCCATCACCTCCTTTCCCCGTGGCGCTAAGCGTACCATCCCCGACTCCTTCCACATCAACCTCACTTACCTCACCATCATGCTCTACGCAGGTGGCTACCAAAAAGGGTAGAAATCGAGGGTCATCTGCATCTACTAGCGAGGTTGAGCGGAAAATGATTGAAGCCATAGAGCTTTTTAAGATTAAATGCGCGTCTACACCAACAACCCAGCAAACCCAACAAAAACAAACGGCAAACCCGGCTGTGCAGGCGTTCAGCACTTTAATGACGTCAATTTTAAATAAAATGGACGAAGAAAAGCAAGCAAGGGCAATGGAGAAAATGCTACAAGTTACGTTTGAAGTTCAGAGGGAGTGACATTAACAAAATATTTAGTAATATTAATAATAGACAATTAATTAATAAAGAGTTATGAAGTTTTTTTTTGATTATTATTTTAGCTTTATTATTTTAAATTTAATTAATTTTTAATGTAAATAATTACAAACATATACTTTTGTTTTTAATGAAAAAATGATCTATGAACTAAAATAAATGGTATTTATATCTAATCGGGTTCTCCAGCAGCATATGGTCCTCCTGTAATAGAGTCTAAATTGTTCTGGAATGGTACAGATCCTTCATTTATAAAATAGTTAGCAAGTCTCTCCTTTAAGTTAAACGCATTTGAAGGACCTCTACGCACCGAAGATCGCATTGGTCGTAAAGCGTTGTTTTCATTTTCCCGGCGGCACTCACCGGCAAGAACAATGTTATGTCCTTCCACTCGATCTACATAGATCTCCGGACAATACCAGCGATTGTGATCATTCAAAATTATAAAATTGTGTAAGGCTATGCAAGCCAACACAATTTTTTCACAATTTTCTGGATTACATTCAATCGTTGTTTTCAAAATTCTCCACCGAACCTATATACCAAAGGAATTTTCTATGACTCTACGATCACGTGACAATCGATAATTGAAAATACGTTTGCTGTATGTTAGATTAGCTCCGGRAAGTGGGCGCATTAAAGTATTTCGTAATGGGAATGCAGCATCTCCAACGAAAAAGTAAGGAAAAGGTTCCGGTGAAACGTCAGACAGTGGCACAGGTGGTGGCAAAGGCAGAGTGTTTTGTATTARTGCATGGCCAAATGGAGTAAGTCGAAAGATTCCTGCATAAATAATAACAGAAATGCATTATACTATAATGTTAAACAATTTAATGTACAGTACCTCCGTCACTTCGACTTCCATAGCTGCCAATACTAACTGCTGTGAACGTATATTTCGCATCACATACAGCCATCAAAACGATGCTAAAGAATTTTTTATAATTGTAAAACATCGAATTGGAATTGGCCGGGCACTTAATAGCRACGTGCTTACCATCAATTGCACCGACACAATTCGGAATGTTCCACATATTATAAAAATCTTTTGCAATGTCCTTGTATTGAGACTCTGTTGGCTCGCTTACATAAATTGGGAAAAGTAGCTGCCAGATTACTTCACACGTCTCTAATATAATTTCGCRTACCGTTGACTTTCTTAACTTATAGCTCCATACAATGCTCTGCACCTACACGCCTTGTGACAAATATCTAACAATTGTAAGAGAAGTACATATATATATACATGCATACGTGTATTAATTTGCAAAACACAACAAATCAACTTACAGTAATACCAACGAGAGCCTTTCCTCGGGTCCAATCCGCTGCCGTGGCTTCTTCAAGGATTTCCATACCAAACTCAGCAGCAAATTGTAGACGTCCGGCGTCATCCTTGTGTGCAAAAAAAGTTGTTCTGCTTTGGTATTTTTCATTACCAGAAAAGTTTTTATCTGGTAACCACAAACGCCCCAGTTTTTATTGATTGGGCCAATTTTGTACCTTCTCTTTTGTTTTTTGTTTTTATACTTTTTATATAAATTATATAAAGAGAATAATTCACACAAATTTAAAAACATTTCACTACTATTGTCCATTGCTGCTGACAMAATTTTTAGAATTGTATGAAATGTCAAACAAATGAAATGTAAACAAAAGAGAACAGCTGATTTCTGCGTTTTTTCCACGTTTTTCACTGGGCACACATTTTGTCGATGAGGAAGGAAAAGGGAGGGAGGCTGTAGGCTTTTGACTGTTTCTGCTATTAGCCATCGTTTGGGCTGTTGGCTATTTTCGGCCATATTTGTACGGAGTTAAGTTTACCGTTCTTCTGATCATCGGCCACCCAAATGGTTGTAGACAAAGACGCAAGTCCAAGACTTTACCGGTGGTTAATTAAGTTAAGCGACTATAATATGAATATAGATTACATAAGGGGGAGAGATAATCACGTAGCAGACTTCTTAAGTATAATAAATTCTGTCCTACATAAAATACATACTGGTAGTTTCGGTAGCACAAATTCTCTGTATAACAATATAAATGACGATGCAATGACAATTCATTCCCAGCAAGAAGACTTAAATGACCATATTGGGATTTTAGATACAATGGTTAATAGATTTCCAATACAAATTATTTTAAGAAAAAAAATGAACTTGATATAATTAATTATAAGAAAAAAATATATATAAATTTAGAAGATGTTAATAGTGATTTACTTGTAGAAGAAAAATTACGACAACATATAACAAATGGGAAAATAGGAATCTACACTGATCTCGACGACGGCAAATATAATATTTTACAAAAAAAACATGATAATAAAGTTATATAAACATGAACCAAATGTGAAGTTTCGGAGGAGCAAACATTTAAACAAATTGACTTGTACCACAGAAATGAGACAGGACATTCTGATATTCTTCTTCTTCTGCTTGATTGGAGTAGACACCGCTTACGCGATTATAGCCGAGTTAACAACAGCGCGCCAGTCGTTTATTCTTTTCGCTACGTGGCGCCAATTAGATATTCCAAGTGA